CTTGGAGAGAGCGGGAGGGGGCGAGAGATAGAGAGTAACGGGGGAGGAAGGTAGTAATAAGGTGAAGGGCCCCACGTCTATAGGGCCCTGGGGACACTGAGGCCATGGAAGGGGTAATTGAATTGGGGGAGGGCAGGGAGAGAGAGAGAGAGAGAGAGAGAGAGAGAGAGAGAGAGAGAGAGAGAGAGAGAGAGAGACAGAGCAGGAGACAGCGAGACGGAGAGAGGCAGAGAGGGTGAGAGAATGAGCGAGAGAGAGCACGCGAGCGTGAGCGAGAGAAAGAGAGCGAGATGGAGAGAGAGAGATAGCGGGAGAGATATGAAAAAGACCAGCAAAAATTCCTTTTGAAAATCCGTACTTGAAAATGTCAAAATTCCGCCTTTAGAAAGATCCTTCCGAAGCAGAATCGCGCTCTCTAGTGCATATTCTAGTCTTGAACATCTTTCTCTCGGGCTCTCTCTCTCTTTCTCTATCTCTCTCTCTCTCGTTTCTAATATTTTTGATTAGCACTCGAAAAGATTGGAGTTTCCACCCGCCCAGCTATGGCAAGTGTTTTTCAGGCAAAATTCTGCGGGGCGCATTCCCTTTCCTCCAGACTTATTTGTCCGGTGGTCCACCCTCCCCCTTCCCGTCGGCCAGAAATTAATTATTTCGTCTCCCGCGTTTTGCTTTCCCCGTCCAGGCGTTGGGATCGATGTTAGAAGCATATGGGGTAAACGGATTTGTGCATATTTGGGAAAACTCGGCGGTTTCACTTCACTTCGAATAGTTCGGCAGTTGATTGACCACAAAAATCGACCCCCGTGGGGTCGGCTAGATCTCGACAGCCACGTGAACCTAAGACCCCTAAAGGATTTTCGTAATGCGTCGTACAAGTGTCAGTTGGAGCACCACGTAGTTATCGAGAACTAGTCGGCGATTCTGGAAGATTCAAATGCTTTTAAAGGTGCTGAGAAGGCATGTGTGTAATTGCGAGCACTTTAAAGGGACTAGGCAGCGTCAAAATCTTACGCACCTCTCTTCGAGCTAGGTATCGATAGTTTCGCATGAAACCAAAAAACACCTTGATTGTCCGTTGGATTTTTTGCTTGGACCTGGCCTTTGAAATTGAGATTGAGCAAGCATTGGTCCAAGCTGTCGAGACCTAGTCCGCTGAAGGGGCCGATACTCGCGCTTTATCGTCCCTTTAATGCGGCTAATTTTCAAGAAAAAACTATAAAACAGCATTTTAAAGGGACGAAGCATCAAATGCTCAACGTCAAATTATGGGTCGACTTGCAATGAGCTCGAACCGTCCTTGTTACTGCTCCAAGCTGTCTAGACCTAGTCGAAGAAAGGGTCTATTTTCACCCACGTTGAGAATACGGGTTACTGTCAAGCTAAAGCTCAATTAAGAAAATTTCAAGGGCATGAACGTGCTTTGACACGTCTCCAAACCGTCTAGACCTAGCCAATTCCATGGGTCGATTTCGGCTCTTCCGACCATACCTTTAAAGGGCGGTACGTTGCAGGCGGACGTTTTTTTTGGTAGGGGGGGGGGGGGTTAAATAAAAAAAAAGAAGAAGAAAAAAAAAAAAATTGGGGGGAGGGGGAAATTTGAAAAAAGGCTAGCAGGGTTTTTGCAGCGCCGGGGGTCGAACCCAGCCAAACGCTCGGGAATTTCTTGTGTTTCACATTGGCCGGGGGTCCTTCTCGGACGACCAGCGATAGTGGTGCGGGGGAGCCATGGCCATATAGCCGACCAGCCAAGCGACTAGGCGGCGGGTGCCATCGCCATGGCAAGCGGGCAATCCATCGAGACCTGGGGGCACAATCGCAACCGAGCTCCCGCGGGGCTAGGGGCCCCAATGCCAATCAAGCGAGGCAAGGGCATAGGCAAAGGCTTGAGGCATAGGCTTAGGCTTAGGCTTAGCTTAGGCTTGAGCTTAGTTTAGGATTGGGCTTACGGGCAGGCTTAGGCTTAGCTTAGGCATAGCTTTAGCATGACTTTGCCTACCATCACCATAGCCATAGCTTAGACTTAGGCTTAGTATGCTTAGTTTGCTTAAGGCTTAGTATTCGCTCATAGAAAGCTATAGGAACATTTCAGGAATACCCGGCGGCTTCACGGGGGAAAGGCCCGTCCCGACAAGCCAATTGCCCATTTTGGAGGGGCCTTTTTGCGTGGAGAGGGGGCCCAGAGGTCTGAACTTTGCCGAGAGCCAAGCTGGAACAGGAGGGAGGACGACTGAACTTTGGAGGATCACGTGATATTTATACGCGGAAAATCCAGTGCATAAAACAAAGAGAGAGAGAGAGAGAGAGAGAGAGAGAGAGAGAGAGAGAGAGAGAGAGAGAGAGGGGTAAACATAAAACTAAGCGGAAGTGAGGGCTGAGGAGCGCACTTCCAAAAAACGGGAAATTTTTTGGGGATTTGCACTTCCTACAAAGCAAATAATTTTTCCACTGTTATACCGTTACCGTTGCGTTTCAAAGGAGCCGGCAAGGCATGGATATGGATTTGCTGGCTATGGATTTTGCAGCGCACTGCGACACGCAACGGGCCACGCTTCGCCGGCTGCAGGTGTTGTAATCAGTTCATGGGAGCGCTTCGTGTGGCGTTGGCGGGAAATCAATAGAATTTCTGAGCCCAAAAGTATGCATTGCTTGCCGCTTTAGGAAGTCAGAAAATCGCAAAAACCGGAACATGGCCGCTTTCAGGTTCGTAGTCCAAATTTTGTGGTCTGTATTTCGAAGTTCTGACATTTATCAGATTTCACTCTATTCTCTATGTACTTCTATGGCGTTTGACTATTTTTCATCTCCGCCAGGTGATATTAGCGGCGGTAATAATCGGAAAATGGACTGCGTTTAATTTGGACGTGGTGACTCGGACCGCCGGGGAAAGACGGAAGTAGGAGCCGAGGGGGGATAATGTAAAAGTATTTTTGGTGTGCAAAATCGGGGAAGGACAGCTGCAGATAATATTTGCAACCGACAGACAGACAAACAGGCATACAGAAATCGTCTCAGATGTCAGGCCTACGCTTTTAACGCCATTTTTAAGACGTTGGGAGACGCTAGATTCGACCACTCCGTTTGATATGATGCCAAAATCGCAATCGCAATTGTAAACGGTTAAAACTCGTTTAGAAGAGGCCAGAAAATATAGCATTCCTGTTTAAGCGTGCAGCGTAGTTTTCGAGACCCAGTCGATATATGGGGTCAATTCGCGCCGTTTCTAGCCCTTAACGCAACCGGGAAGCGTTTAGATCGAACACTCTAACTGCTAGGTCTCGAAAGCCGCAAGATACGCCAGATTACGTTCAACCTTGGTACTGTACAGCAGCGTAGGTTGCCACGGTTCATTTGGCAAGACACGTAGCTGGCGATATCTAGTTCGATGGCTGGAGTAATTGGCTGAAATGTGGTGGTTTTTAGGCGGCGACTAGGTGTCGATACCTAGCTAACGAAAGCGGTAGATTCTCAAGCTTCCTAGTCCCTCTAAAGCCGCGCCATTTCAAACCCCAAAAACGGCAAAATTCCTGCCTGACATGCCCTGCTGAAATGCGGCCCTGCGGCCCAGACGAAATGAGGTGCTAGCGGCGTCGTGGGGTGTGATGCCGTGAGGGGCAATTTGAAAATGGACGCGATGAGCCCGTGAATATTATAGGGCCGGAGGAGCAAGAGATCGGCCGGGGATGAGGCTCATTTTGGGCCTCTTTCGGATCCTTTCTGGGCCCTCCATCGGACCAAAGGCCCAACACCCACCTTCCAAAATAATAGGGTTCGTTAGAAAAACGAACCCAATGGAACTGAGGGTCTTTATAAAAAGGTTCGTACAAATGAACGCCTTTTTTGCAAATATTTTTTCACGATTTTGTGGGGTTATTACGATCGTATTTTGTGGTGTTAGGAAGAGCCAATCAGCCCGTATTTTTGTGCAAAATTTGAGGTAAAAATAATTTTTACGATTTATACGTTTTTTACGATGTACGAAGATCAAGAAACTACGGAGTTTTCTCATCGGAATTTCTTTATTGTAAAATTATAATTATGATATTATTGTATATTTTTTGTTTATTTCTTATATTTTTTGTTATCTTTTTTATTTATCTAATATTTTTGTTCGTCCAAAAGAAAATGAATTTTCTATAAATTATCACGTTACTCAAAAACCGTCAAAAATCACCAAATATAATATAACAAGGTTGAAAAACCCTTCGCTTTTCCGGACCGATGAAACTTCAATTTGCATGCCTCTCCGCCCCTTCTTTTTTCCACTTCTTAATGCTAATTGACCCCAGGGGTGGGCGGGAATTTTATTTGTTTTTATTGGAAATAAATTTTTCAAATATTTTGTGCGTGAGTCGATTCCGGACCCTTCTTTACTACTTTTCCTCCTTGTGTCGGACGGAAATAAATACAAATGCAAAAACATACAAACCTATTATTTTTGTATTCTTAGCATTTTTAGAATGGAAAATATAAAAACATATGAATAACTTAAATATCCCCATATTTTTGGGACATTAGCATTATTTTTTCACAAAAAAACTACCTACTGCGCCTAAAAACGTACAGCTCACAAAAACAGTCTAGCCGGCCGCCAAAAATACGACCCAAATTATTTGCGTATTTCCCAGGGCCCGGCGGCCGCAAATCAATCCAATTTCCTGGGAATCCGTGGGGCTACGATTTCGTGGGGAAAAGCGGAAATTAGGCTTATTTAAAAACACCCAAAAATAGGGCAAATACGCTGTCCAGATTATGGTTTTCTCACGGATTTTCATAACGCTAAAAGTCGTCAGGAGTAGAGTGGATTTTCATAAACAAAAATTTGTGAATCGGGGAGTCTAGGCGGCGCCAAAAATAATCCTATTTTGAGCGTTAAGGTCGGCGGGGTGCATTCCTAATAGCAAGGGGGCAAGAGATGTTGACAACATTCGCGTACCCGGGAATCAAAAAGCAAAAAAGGGGGATCTAGGAGGGGTGTCCTCGAGGGTGTTGCCCAGGGCTCAATATTCTGACGCGTCTGGCGCTCTCAGGTGGAAATGAGATGTTCACTCCAGGCGGGAGGCGATGCCGGAAATTGGAAAAATATACAAAACAAACGGTCACCATCAAAATGAATAGAAAATAGAATCAAGGAATGACGCTTAATTTGATAGACTCAAAATTCAGTACGGATCTTGCCGCCCCGCGACACGCAACGCGTGTATCACTCGCCTAAGGAAACGAGCTGTTATTACGCAATGCGCAAGGCAATGCAAAGACCCATGCGTTGCGTACCGCGCTGCCGGTCGGTGCATAAGGAACCCATAAACCGCATCGCGGCTTGCCCCTCCCTTTAGGTAGAACCGCACGGGAACGGGTAAACTAAGCAATGGAGTGCTAGTAGGAAAGAGAGAGAGAGAGCGAGAGAGCGAGAGAGACTGACAAATAGAAATATCTAGATAAAGCGAGAGAGCGGAGGAGAGAGCAAGAGAGGACGAGAGACGGAGACACAGACATTGAGAGAGGAGGGAGAGAGTGAAAAAAGCAGAGCGTTCTTCGAGAATATCGAGAAAAGAACGTTTTCTTGGTCCCCCCCCCCCCCCCCCCCCCCCCCTCCCCCCCCCCCTTTTTTGGCTTTTTTTTTTTTTTTTTTTTTTTTTTTTGGTGTCGTCCCCCCCCCCCCCCCGGGGGGGGGGGGGGGGGGGGGGGGGGGGCGGGGGGGGGGGGGGGGGGGGGGGAGTCTGTTGGGGGACCTTTGTTCGTTTTCTTGCTTTATGGTCTACCAACGGTTGAATACATCAGCTTCTGAGAAAAATCTACCTAAGTAATTTTCGCTACTACACGCCACATGACTCAGCGCCCCCCGGTTCCTCCCGGGTCCCGCCACGAAAACACCCGAGTCGCCGTACCATAACATAGCGTAGATCTCGCCCCGTCTCCTTTTGTCTCTTCATTGTTATTGGCTGCCGAAATCCATTGTTTTCATTGGGCGGAGGGGATCTGTGCAGCAGAAGCTGTAGTTTTTGGCTGGGGCAGCGCGCCGGAAAACGGATACCCTCTTCTGGAGGTGCGGCTACTCTTCCTTACTACGGTAATTCGAGGGCGTTATTTTGGGTGGATTGGGCGTGGAGCGTGTCGCAAGTATCGTATCGTACTGCAAATCGTTTTTTCCGGTTCAAAAAGTGAAAAATTGCCAGTCAATTTCGTATTTAAGAGACCGGCTGCTAGCCAATTTTTTATTTGTGCGCGCATTAATCCAAGCAAAACTCAGTTTAAAGGGACAGTGACAGTTAAAGCTTTCTAGTTGTATTTCGTCTGGTTCACGGGCCGGAAAATACCTTATTCGCTCCAATTTTTGGCAAAATCGGAGCCACACTTTAGAAACCTGCAAACGTCAAAAACATGACCCCCCGCACTGGGGACATCGAGTACCAAAAATTAGACCGGAAACGTAGGCAAGAACCCCCAAAAATAGCCCACAAGAAATTGACTACGCAGGGAAACGCTACGAACCGCTACGAGTACGTTAGGCTTGAACAACTACTACATCGTCTTGGCCCAAAGTAGCGTAGTCTTCAATTCTGGCTCCCACCTGAAATTTCGAGTATTTCTGCGTCTTACTGTATTGTATTCCGGAAAAAAAAGCAGAAATTCCAGGAAAATGTTTGAAAATGGAACCCTGGAACTTTGGCCGACGACGAGATGGCCGGCGGTTCCCAGGCGGGTGGTGGGAAATTCTGAGGATTTTGGATTATGAAGAAGCCGCGAGTGAGAGAGAGAGAGAGAGGGGAGCGAGAGAAAGAGAGAGAGATAGATAGATAAAGAGAAACGATAATATGTGAGGCAGAACGAGAGAAAAGTCGACCGGAGAAAGAGCATCTAAAAAATCCATGATAGCTTAATACTGAATATCATAACATCGTTTTTAAGTTTAAAAACCCCGTTTATAAGGTAGAAGCTGGGTTCACAAAGTTATTAACCGAAAGGCTTCGATTTAGGGAAATCGAGCAAATGAAAGGGATGGAAAATGACAGAGAAGGGCGAGAGAGAGAGAGAGAGAGAGAGAGAGAAAGAGAGAGAACGAGAGAGAGAGAGAGAGAGAGAGAGAGAGAGAGAGTGAGAGAGAAACCTAGGCAGAGAGCTATTTAGATAAATCTAGAGAATCAGGATAGAGAGAAAGGTATCGGAATCTCCCGGAAGCTCGGCTTTCGAAAGATTCGACCTCGTTGGCGTCGTTGGTTGTCCACCTCAGTTCTCAGTTGGGGTCTTCTGGATCGATGAGCCGTGAGGGCACACCGGACACCCCGGCCATTTCCTCACCAAAGCCCCTTCCCCCTTCTCCTCCTCTTTTCCATTCCCTTGCGATGCCCGTTCCTCCTCCTCGTTCTTTTTCTCCTTCTCCTTCTTCGCCATCCGCCATACACGGCAGGGCCCCGAAAACAGATGAGGAGGCGACGGGACGGCAGATGGAGACCGAGAGGAGGAAGACGAACCCCAGGGATGTGATTCAGATTTGAGGGGAGAAGCACGGGATTTTAGCCGGAAGCGGATTTTCGAAAAACCAAATTTTAAACTGTCAACATAACGCATTATTAACGAACATACTAACGGTTAACTAAGAAATATTGGAAAAGAAAGAGTTTAAGAAGCGCGGTCTTTTCATTCCCAGCTACTCGAGGGGATTTGAGGTTAGGGATGCCTCGACCTCGAATTTCTGCTTGCAGGTTAGCTCATTTTGTAGAGCTCGGAGAGACGAACCAAGCGATGTAACCTTTAGCTACGGATACTGTAAGGTAGGCCAGAAAAAAAACCCCTCGTTTGCACTGAAAAACCTCGGTTTTGATCGGGCCAATAAGGTTCTCAAAAACGTTTCAGGCAGCCGTGCTGCTTGCCATAATTTACTTCTTGTCGGCATCCCTAGGTTTCATCAATACATTATCGAAAACACGGTTCCTTTTGTGTTTGTCCTTTGCTAGGCGCCGCTTTTGCCCGACAGCGGTCAGTACGCGCCACTACCCTCCACGCCGACACCGCGCGCTCTCAGCGACCGGCGGGCAAAGGGGGTTATCCAGCACGCCGTTCATGAGAGAACTCTGTAAAATAAGCACACGCTGTTGAGTTTTTTGCATGCAAGGGTTTAGCTGGAAGCGCTTTTGCGTATTACGATGCGATCAATGGCTCGATCCGATCCGGTAACGAACTTCTGCTTTTATTCCGGACGATGCAATTCCGCTCTTTCGTTTAACTATGCGCCGAGGTCTGTCTAACTATGCCTGATCATTGCTACAGATCGTACATGTCGTTGCCCTACGTGTTGTCGCAAGAGAAATTGGCTGTTATTCGCTTTCGTTGATGATTTCTTCGCTAGGTTGCTTGAATTCGTTTCGTGCGATGCGATGTCAGCCCAAGCACCCGGTTTATTGCAGAGATGGACAGTAGATACGATGAAAACGGATACACATACAAAAGAAGAATGGGATACAGAGAGGGGGCATCATACTACAACAATGCAAAAGGGCATGGGGCTGGGATGCGTCGAGTTGTTAGTTGGCGAGTATCATGGCCGTCAACACGGCGAGGGAGCGATGTCGAGTGATGGTTGGATCGTCCTGAAAAGCTTGTTGTAGTTGAGCACGGAGTTCCAAATTTCTCGCTAGAATTCGTCGCTTACACTTGGTGGTTTCGGTCGTATCAGAGGCGGCCTCCGTGTTGGTGATCGGCACGACGTCCATGTCGACGCTGATGTTGCCGGCGCCGACGTTCATCTACAAACCGACAATGTTAGATCACGCATTGCCACAAATACGCTCTTAACGCTTCACTACCCACCATGTCATCGACAATCGGCTTCTTTCCCTTCGGGCCCTTGTCCTTCTTCTTCAGACAGCAGCACAATACGATGACGGTCAGGATGATGAACACCAAGAGGGCGCCGCACAAGGCTGAAGAAACGAGTTCAACAAGTACGTCCAAATATTCTACCTGCAATCAAGATGACCTCATCCCCCAGCCCGTCATTCGGTTTCTCGGTCGTTGTCTTTGCAGTCGTCTTTGCCGTTGTCGTCGTCGAGGCTTTTGTCGTGCTCGTTGTCGTGATCGGGCCGACGCAATGGTACTGAAAGAAGTGTTCATCTACCTTCATCCCTCCACAAGTCTCCCACCTTCATCCTCTCCTCTTCCGTCAAAGCACTGCACTGCTTGTAGACGACGCATGGGACCCCGTCGACATTTTTCTGGTAGTAGAGCAGATTCTTGCGCCAATCCCTCGCATCCGGCTGAAAGACGGCAATTGTCTCGTGGTAGATGATCATCTTCTGTCTGAATGAAGACTAGAAAACCCACTGCACGTCCGTCGACATTTCCTCGACACTGCGGAATCGGATTGCACGGTGGGTTGAGTGACCACGGGTCTTTGTGAGTCGACTTCTCCGCGTCGCACCAATCCATCTTTTCCTGTAAAGAGTATTGTGGCGAATCAGAAGAGATATCTACCGTAATACTGAGGACACCGAAATAGTCGTTTTCCGGATTGCTAGGGATGGGTCGACAATCCGGTTTGTCCGTCAATCCACGGCCATTCTCGTTTCTTGGACAAATATCCATGCAGTTCAGCAGATCTCCGTTTTCAGCTACAGGTCTCAGGTATTTTTGTCTGTAAAATACAGGGGATAATGGATGAGACTGTGATGCGGACTGACTCATCGAATTCTCCCGGTTGGTCCAGTTTGCAGAACGGCAGTACCATACATCCCCAACTCGCCACATTCTTCGGCTCGAACTGATTGCCGTGAGGATCGGTGCACCACTGAAAATAAGCACATCATACTTCGGACGGGGAATTGTCACCGCCATGTGATTCTCAACAAAACGATACTCACCGGCTTGTATCTGCCCTTGCCGAGGATGTAGGTCTTCAACGGGCGCGGGTAGCAGATGCGGGCCAGCGAGTCATTGGCCAAGATTTCACTTTAAAGGGGTGGGGAATGATTGGAACGAATGAATTGTGATGATACCTAGGAAAGGCATTCTGCTCCTCGCACCATGTCCCTTCGTAACATCCAAAATGCAGCTTCATCGACGCCATCGCCAGTTCATTCGCACTCTAAAGTCAAAACTCAAGTAGGAAAAGGAACGACAAACCATTTTGTCAAAATCTTCCCGGCGGCACTTGGCGTTGTAAGTGGGGTTGATCGGGTAGTAGATGAACACGTTCGGATCCTCATCTCGCTTGGTGCGCTGGCGGAGGCGGATCCGTTTGATTGGCGCTCCTGAAGCCGCAACGTCACGACGGAGGCGCTGTAGAATCATGGTTATTAGTGTCTCGAGAAAGGTTTTCGAAAAAAACTGGGCACTGAAAGACGAACCTTCTCTGGCTTGTAGGTAGGGCCGAACACGGTTATCCACCACTGAAAGTGAGTATTTCAAGAGGCGTCGAGAGTGCAAAGTCCATGGACGCCCCCCAGCGGCAACTTTTCAGTCATAAGCCCCCTCATGGATGCGTAGAGTAAAATAAGCGTTTCGACGTGGCCGAATTACTCTAAAAACGTGGATTCCTTACGTCAGAAATTGCTAGAACATTTTTTACAAGATTTAAAAATTTTTTAACTGTTTTTAAACCAAAACCTTTTAAAAAAAGAAACATTGTTAGCTGTAATCTCGGTTGTCAAGATCTGTTTTTTTTGCGTCGGCTGCGTTCCTATGATGGATTTTCGTGTGGTTGATTTTGTGATCGGAGACTCTGGAAGTTATCTCCAGGGGACCCTTGCAAAACGGCTGGCCCACCCATATTCCGTCAGGCTCTTGGTGCAGAAAGACGGGCCAGAGATGATGGTATCGACAGTTGGGATGCTTCGACATGTAGAAATGTTTTGGCTGGAAGATTTTACAGCTTCGATTCCATAAAATCAATCTACACTCCGGTAACCCGGGAAGAAGCGAACTAGAGTGTAGCCTACCTGGTCGCCTGGTACGAGGCACTTGATTTGACAGGAGGGATGAGCGTTGTCTCCAGCATACCGGCACCCATGGCAGTCTTGATGATCTTGCCATTCGGGACGAGCACAGTTCATGCAATACGGATCCCTGTCGTCACACTGAAAACAATCTCTAGCTCAAATCATCGATCATCTCAAAACAAAAGGAACATATTTTTCAAAATCTGGGCTGGTACCATAACTTTTCACCACCCCAAGTAAAAATCTAAAGTTTACTGCCCCTAGTGAACTTTTTACCACCACAGGTGAACTTCTTAGTAGGGGTAGTGAACCCGTTCACGACCCCTGGCAAAAAGTTTAGTTTACTAATTCGAACTTATATGGCTTTCTGGTCAGCCAAAGAGGCTTTTGCGCCGGTAATTTCAAGCCCAAGGTCATTTACGTAGGCTATAATATACCTATCATTAACCTTTGGGGGAGAAAGTGTTATTACAGCGGCAGTTATATTTACTGGGGATAGTAACCTATGTTACTACCCCAAGATGGGTATGGAAAAACGCATCGGGTGTCAAGACGCAGTCTGAAAGTCATTGAAGAAGAAGAGAAACAAAAAAGATTGCCGGCGGGGGGGCAAAGTTTCTCAGATAGGCCTAAAGTGTTGCCTGAAGTGTTTTTTCCAAAGTAAAAATGTTGATTCAGAGCGAAAATTGATTGAATACTAATCAATAATTAAAATCGTAGGACACACACAATTACTACAGCCCGGAATGATTTTATGGGTTAGACTATGTCCCCACTCTTGTGAGAAAATTGACTCACGAAAGCACAAAATTTAGTGGGGTAGTAATAAAGTTTACCAACTTGCAAAGTTGAGGATAGTCGTTTACTGGTGTGGTAAACACTTTGCGTTCATTTTTCTTGCGACTGAGCAAAAACTTGAGCAATTTCCTCACCGAAGTGTGTCGCTGAGAGACTGGACTACCCAATAACATCTTTGAAAAACTTTCCAAAGTTATGATATTTAAGTTTAAACTCTTTTTAAAATAGAGCTGACTACCGCCTGTTTACCAAATGTGGCAAACCACCCCTAGTAAAAAATTTTTAGGCCACTAGTAAACTTTTTAAGGGGGGGTGGTAAGCTTTTTCATTTGGGCAGTAAGAACGGGTTACCGGTGCGGTAAACTCCGCGCCTGGGGTAGTAAATTTTTTTAGTCAACTTAACGCCGGATTGATTTATTTCTGTAGGTGTTTTTGCTGCGCAAACGCAAGGTTATCGACCCTAGGATCATTTCTGAGCACAAAACAACCTAGTTTCCGCTTACTAGGGCGAGTAACGACGTTTACTAGTCGGGTTACCGGGGTGGTCAAGAGTTTACTAGGGGTAGTAAGCCGGAAATGGGGTGGTAAACAGGTTATGGTACGGGCCCTGATTTGTACAGTGATCTCGGAGATATTGCGCGTCTAATGGCGTATCATACCTATCTACAGGGTGAGGCATATATATGGCAACACTTTCTCGGGTCTCCTCCGGCCGAAAAAAAGAAGAAAGCTGGTTGAAGGGCTTCAATAATTTGCTGAAATATAGCACCAGTGTCATGTTTAACCACTTTTAAAATATTAGAACGCAGAAACCCTTCAAAAACTTTAAAAATGTTCTGAAGCAAAAACTGGGTGTCGTAAAGGTGGCCGCTGGCACGCAACCCCTTGAAAGCACAATATTCAGCATGGTTCAGAAACGTCGTTTTGGGCAGGAATGACCCCTAAAAATATGTTTACTACCTAGTATTCCCGACAGATTAAAAGGTAATTTAATTAACAATTAACTTCTTTAAGTAGGCAGAAATTTTAGAATTGTTTTCGGCTGGTCCCAAAAATCATAGTAAAATTAAAGTAAAATGCTTTTTTATCTTTAATCGTTGAATTGCTTGGTTTCAAGACAAACAGAATTGGTTAAGAAAACCTAGTTTTTTCATAGAGTATACCATATTCAGGCGGATTTCAACTACAGAATCGTATCTAGCATACCGGACAATCCTCGGCGACGATCCCTTCGCATTTTGGACAGAGACCCGATTCCTTGTTCCTTTTGTCCGCATGTACATTATTGGCATTGCAATTGACGCACGTGTGGACATTATCAATGCCCGGCGTGCACTGAAAATTAGTACTTGAAGCCGATGGCCTTGGCCCGTCGAGAAAACATTCCGGTTCTTTAGGATTCGCGGGAATGAGCAAGTTTATTTATATTTCAAGTAAACAAACCGTGAAAATTGAAAAATCTTTGAAAAGGTAATTTTAGTATTTTGGGTCGAAACAACCAATTTTTGGCTAAATTGGCTAATACGTCCTCGCCGACCACCACTCACCTTTCGGGCATCCGGTTTGGGCGCGAAAACGCCAAATGGAGCCCATGTCGACGTTGTGGTAGTCGTGGTCGTCGTGGTGGTTGTCGTCTAGAATCCAAATCCTAACAAGGTAAGGAGCATGTCAGACCGATGTAGTAGTGGTGGGATCGGGCGGAACAGCGGCGTGCTCCCATCCGGCCAGACAGATCCCCTTCGGCCCATCCTTCGGCTGATCCTTCGTCGAGCATCCCCCTTCTTTCTCGATGAACAGGTCGAAGTTGCAGTTCAGCCACAGCGTCTTGTTGAATATCTAAATTCAGAGATTTTGATACAAATGAGTGACGATTATTACCCTGATGGGTGAATGGTTGTCGCAGACTGCATCGGGGGGCACAGGACAGTGGCAGAGGGCATTCTGAAACGGCGAGAGTGAGAGAGCGAGAGAGAGAGAGAGAGAGCGAGAGTGGTGAAGCCTACATCCGCGGCCGATCGCTGCTCCGAATCCCTGACGACGAAGCAGGCGAGAGGACGACCGTAGCCATCCGGGCAGCCCTGCAATAGACCCTTAGCACGGATGCCATTAATAGGATGCTCGAATTTGAAAAGAATGAAGAAAAGAATTTTTCCTGTACCTCTTGAGCACGAGCACCAGGGAGCTGGACGTCGAGGAGGAGGAGCGCACAGATGAGCAGCGATTTCCGCAACATTCTAACGACCATCCGCGGACGAGGACCAATTCGTAGAATGAGCCGTCATCGGGAAAGCGATTTTCTATCAAATTTCAAATGCTAATCGTGGACGAAGTTCGTTTTGCTTATGTTAATACGTTAACCCAGGCGTAGCGCTTGCCAAAGAGTTTAAGCTCTTACCAGGGTTGAAAAACCGCTTCGCGACTTTTCAACCCTGGCCATGTCTTATCCATTGAGGGTTGTCAACTTGCATAAGTCTCGCGAGCCGCAATGTTAAAATACCCCTTCGGTGCCTTTATATATTCTCGCTCAAAAACTCCAATATCACGTAAAAACGAATCCTTGTAAGGAAACTGAGTTCACAAACTATTAAAATGAAGGCGGTTTTTGTTGGCGGATTGCTGAAAAGCGGCATTTCGGACGGGCTAAAGAGCTGTCTTTGATATCATTCGAAACGTAAAATTCTACTCTGCAAAAAAATGATGCTGGGTTTGCATTATTAAGTAGGTTTGAAAAGGCTAGAAGAGCTGCAATTCTTTGACGCGCGCTACGTCCGGGTCCTATGGACGCTTTTGCCCCTCCCGGCACGTTGCCGTTTTTGGCCCGTTTGATTGGCGTATGTTGTTTGTATGTTTTCCGCTCTCTCTCTCGTTTCTGGCTCTTATTCTATGTTGGTTCACGTCGCTGAAACACCACATTTTTCTGGTCATTTCATTTCGTGCGAAGCAATGTCAGCCCAAGCACCCGGTTTATTGCAGAGATGGACAGTAGATACGATGAAAACGGATACACATACAGAAGAATGGGATACAGAGAGGGGGCATCATACTACAAAACAATGCAAAAGGGCATGGGGCTGGGATGCGTCGAGTTGTTAGTTGGCGAGTATCATGGCCGTCATCACGGCGAGGGAGCGATGTCGAGTGATGGTCCGACCGTCCTGAAAAGCTTGTTGTAGTTGAGCACCGAGTTCCAAATTTGCCGCTAGAAGCCTTCACTTACACTTGGTGGTTTCGGTCGTATCAGATGCGGCCTCCGTGTTGGTGACCGGCACGACGTCCATGTCGACGCTGATGTTGCCGGCGCCGACGTTCATCTACAAACAGGCAAGGTTAGATTCAGCATTGACACCAATACTCTCTCAACGCCTCACTACCCACCATGTCATCGACAATCGGCTTCTTTCCCTTCGGGCCCTTGTCCTTCTTCTTCAGACAGCAGCACAACACGATGACGGTCAGGATGATGAACACCAAGAGTGCGCCGCACAAGGCTGAAGAAACGAGCTGAACAAGTAGGATCCCATACTCTACCTGCAATCAAGATGACCTCATCCCCCAGCCCGTCATTCGGTTTCTCGGTCGTTGTCTTTGCAGTCGTCTTTGCCGTTGTCGTCGTCGAGGCTTTTGTCGTACTTGTTGTCATGGCCGAGCCGACGCAATGGTACTGAAAGAAGTGTTCATCTACCTTTATCCCCTCACAAGCCTCCCACCTTCACCCTCTCCTCTTCCGTCAAAGCACTGCACTGCTTGTAGACGACGCATGGGACCCCGTCGACATTTTTCTGGTAGTAGAGCAGATTCTTGCGCCAATCCCTCGCATCCGGCTGAAATACGGCAATTGTCTCGTGGTAGATGATCATCTTCTGTCTGAATGACGACTAGAAAACCCACCGCACGTCCTTCGACATTTCCTCGACACTGCGGAATCGGATTGCACGGTGGGTTGAGTGACCACGGGTCTTTGTGAGTCGACTTCTCCGCGTCGCACCAATCCATCTTTTCCTGTAAAGAGTATTGTGGCGAATCAGAAGAGATATCTACCGTAATACTGAGGACACCGAAATAGTCGTTTTCCGGATTGCTAGGGATGGGTCGACAATCCGGTTTGTCCGTCAATCCACGGCCATTCTCATTTCTTGGACAAATATCCATGCAGTTCAGCAGATCTCCGTTTTCAGCTACAGGTCTCAGGTATTTTTGTCTGTAAAATACAGGGGATAATGGATGAGACTGTGATGCGGACTGACTCATCGAATTCTCCCGGTTGGTCCAGTTTGCAGAACGGCAGTACCATACATCCCCAACTCGCCACATTCTTCGGCTCGAACTGATTGCCGTGAGGATCGGTGCACCACTGAAAATACGCGCAATACATCATACTTCGGACGGGGAATTGTCACCGCCATGTGATTCTCTACAAAACGATACTCACCGGCTTGTATCTGCCCTTGCCGAGGATGTAGGTCTTCAACGGACGCGGGTAGCAGATGCGGGCCAGTGAGTCATTGGCCAAGATTTCACTTGAAAGGGATGGAGAATGATCGGAACGAATGAATTGTGATGATACCTAGGAAAGGCATTCTGCTCCTCGCACCATGTCCCTTCGTAACATCCAAAATGCAGCTTCATCGACGCCATCGCCAGTTCATTTGCAGTCTAGAGTCAAAACTTAAGTAGGAAAAGGAACGACAAACCAGTTTGTCAAAATCTTCCCGGCGGCACTTGGCGTTGTAAGTGGGGTTGATTGGGTAGTAGATGAACACGTTCGGGTCGTCATCTCGCTTGGTGCGCTGACGAAGACGGATACGCTTGATTGGCGCTCCAGGAGCGGCAACTTCACGACGGACGCGCTGGAAAATTTTCATGATTTGTGTATCGACAAAGGTTTTTCCATAAAACTTGTGTTTCACTGAAGAACGAACCTCCTCTGGTTTGTGTTTAGGGCCCTTGTAGAATATGTGCCACTGAAAGCAAGTTTTTCAAAAGGCGTCGAATAAACGAAGTGTGGGGTCCAGGGACGCTTGAATCAGCCCAGTTTTTACTTTAATGTTTTCAAAAACGCCTTTCTCGAATGAAATCCCCTCTTGATTCGAAAAGTTCTTTTAAATTCTTTTTCTAGTGAAGAAATTTTTCTAGTAAAATTTAACTTTGTTTTAAGCCGGCAACATTTTTAAAAAGGAAAAATTGCTAGTTGAAATTTTGGTGGTAATTTTGTGAGCGGGGATCATGGAGCTTGTCCCCAGGAAACTCTTGTAAAACAGCTGGCCCACCCATCGGTCGTCCCCAGGATACCGGTGCCCATAGACGGGATATAGATGGTGGTATCGACAGTTGGGATCCTCGGACATATAGAGGGTCTGAAAAAAGCATTACAATAGAGATGATATCATTCAAATAAAATCCTACTCAAATCCTATTTGATTTGAATAAGAAGATTTGAGATTTAATTCCGCCGAAATGAAATCTAGATTTTATTTGAAACTGGCTGGACTTTCAAATCAAATCCAGACTTGATTTGAGAAATTTTCAAATCTGGAGTCATTTTTACGGATGTAAAACACAAGTCCAGCACCAAAAAATGTAAGGAAAGAGGGAAATTTCGTTTGTTTTCTTGCATACAGGGTATCCCAAAAAAAAGCACCCCCCCTCTAGCGGCACGCCTTCATGTCCGATTTCCACCGTTTATCTATCGAAAGCTCTTGAAAAGGCGAGAAAACAAGGAGGATTCATTTTCTTTATTATGAATTTTTATTAGCAAATTTTACGTCCAAAAACCATGAAAACGGCAGATTTACGCGAGATCTGCATGGTAATCGCGAAATTCCTATTGAAAATCTACCTGTTTTTTAGAAAAACGTTGAATATCCAGCGTATAAAAATAAATCTCATAAAAGGAATCCCGCTTGTTTTCTCGCCTTTCCGAGAGCTTTCGAATGGTATAAAAATTATCCCGGTCTGAGCTTCCCCCGGACCGCTAGAGGGGGGTGCTTTTTTTTGGGACACCCAGTATAATAATCATCGAATAAACCGGAAATCGCCGATAAGCATCCACTTTCTCGCATTTGCTTCGGAAATTCGGGTTGCTCAAATTAATCAAATCAAATCGGTCCAGGATTTGATTTGAATGGGACTTCCGGTTGAAATCAAATCCGATTTGATTTGATTCTGCCGGCAAATCAAATCAAATCTGGCCTTGATTTGAGAAGCTTTCAAATCCTCAGATTTGATTTGAATAATAACATTCATTACATGTACATTACAATATCTACATTACAACATCAATTCCAGAAAATCAAACCGCGCTATGGAAACCAGGAAGGACCGAAACAAGCTAGGTTGTGTACAGGCCCGTGGCGGAGCCGAAATTTCGGGGGGGGCAAAGAAATTTGGCGACCCCCCCATCGTGTGTGGTCCCCCCTATGAACTTTTCGGACCCTGACCGATTTTGGAGGGGGAGGGCTTCCTGCCCCCCCTCCTACGGGCCTGGTTGTATATTACCTCTTTGTCCAGGATGCACCTTATTTGACAGGAGGGATGGGCGCTATTTTCATCCCTCCAGCACCCATGGCAGTCCTGATGATCTTGCCATTCGGGACGAGCACAATTCAGGCAATATGGATCGGCGTCGTCGCACTGAAAGGAACGCCTGTATACAGCCCTCGTTTGAATGGCTTAATTGCAATGTGCTTTCACACACACTTTCAGATTTCACATTTCACATATTTGGCAAGAGTGCAGTTTACCAGACGGCCTCCAAAAGACTTAACAAGCTGCATACCGGACAATCCTCGGCGACGATCCCTTCGCACTTTGGGCAGCGACCTGTTTCCTTGTTCCTTCCATCCGGGATCCTTAATCCCACGTTGCAGTTGACGCACATGTCGGTAGTCGTTTTCGAGGGAGTACACTGAAAAAAATAATAGGGAATCAGACGACCCAGAGCTGGTGTTGGACAGCACCCGGCGAAACGCTGCCCAGTGGAAACAAACAGTAAAAGTAAATAAAAATAAAAGTAAAATCGGTCTTTCTGGACTGGTAGCGGGGGACCTAATTTCCCCTGTGATTCTCTACCGCCCTACAACATAATATAAATTCATTTGGCTACGGTTTATTTTACCCCCCCCCCCCCAGCCCGAAATTTTTGGTTATAACTTTTTTATTTTACATTATTGTAGGCTCAAATTAAAACTCTTAGTATATTTTTCGACGCTCTATCGAATGGCGTTGCAAAAATCCCGACAAAATAAGCGAAAATACCGACAACTTTGAGAACCTTCGGGTGTGGGGGGGTAAAGTAAACTCTTACCATTCATTTTATAGCATTTTGCATAGTCTTTAGATATAAAAACAATATAAAAAATAAATATTGTCGAAAAACTTTTTGACTTTTTGCTCAAAAAATGCATGAAAGATGAACAAAAGGGTTCCCGCGTCCGGCTGAACGGATAACGGAAAAGTGGACGCGGGCACCAATTTTTGCGGGTAGTGGGCGGCGGCTTAATTTGTAAGTTAAATAAATTTTTCAAGAAAGCCCCGCAGCAAATTTAGGTGATGGGTTCGGGGTGCTTTAGGATCCCCGGGGGGGGGGGGTGATTTTTTTTGGTTAAAATGTGTGTAGTTTTTATGCTCAGGAATAGTTAAAAACAATTTAGAAACGCGTCCGCAATTTATAAAAAACTCTAGGCCTTTGCCGAAAAAAATTTGTTTCTCCCCCGGGAATACTTCCCCCCTCCCCGCGAATCCTAAAGAACCGGGTTCGGAATCAGCGAAAAATTCTGCACACGATGCGTTTGGTCCCGAAATAAAAATCCAAGTTAAGTAAAAAACTTTAGTCTTGGAAAACGTTTTACGCCTTTGTTCACCACCACCCACCTTTCGGGCATCCGGTTTGAGCACGAAAACGCCGAAGGGGGGCTTCGTGGTCGTTGTGGTCTGGTCGTGGTTGTCGTTGTGGTGGTAGTTGTCGTGGTGGTTGTTGTCGTAGTCGTTGTCGTTGTGGTGGTGGTGGTAGTCGTCGTGGTAGTTGTAGTTGTAGTCGTCGTTGTTGTCGTGGTGGTGGTAGTGGTAGTGGTCGTCTAGAACCCGTATCCTAAGATTGCGACAATGCCAAACCGATGTAGTAGTGGTGGGATCGGGCGGAACAGCGGCGTGCTCCCATCCGGCCAGACAGATCCCCTTCGGCCCATCCTTCGGCTGATCCTTCGTCGAGCATCCCCCTTCTTTCTCGATGAACAGGTCGAAGTTGCAGTTCAGCCACAGCGTCTTGTTGAACACCTAAAATTCAACATTTTGATACCAATGAGTGACGGATTATTACCTTGATGGGCGAATGGTTGTCGCAGATGGCACCGGGCGACACGGGGCAGTGGCAGAGGGCATTCTGAAACCGGCGAGAGTGAGAGAGCGAGAGAGAGAGAGATATATAGAGAGAGAAAGAGAGACAGAGAGAGCGAGAGAGAGAGAGAGAGGAGAGAGAGTTGAAACCTACATCCGCGGCCGACCGCTGCTCCGCATCCCTGACGACGAAGCAGGCGAGGGGTCGACCGTAGCCATCCGGGCAGCCCTGTAAAAGACATGTAATTTGGTAAAAATGTTATTAAAAACAAATGTTTGAATGTGAAAAACCCTGTACCTCTTGAGCATGAGCGCCGGGAAGCTGGCCGGCGAGGAGAAGAAGGGCCCAGATGAGCAGGGACTGGCGCAGCATCCGGACGACCATTCGTTGTACGAGGACGAATTCGTATGATGCTACCAGTGCGGGGCAATCGAATTCATATCGCCTTTTAGATGCTAATGTTGATGTCCATCCGGTTGGGTTAGGATGGCATGCAAATGCAGCTTAATTTATGTAAATTTGGACTCCTGGACAGGTTTGGTATTGTACCGTTAGCAGGGGGGGGCGGTTAGCAGGGGACCCAATTTCTATGCAGTACACCTGTGCGGCCCTGCACACAAAATATAAAAATTTTTGATAGCATTGTACACGGTTTTCGCATGGCAAATGATGAAAATGTAGAGAACTTTGCAAATTTTCATTTTTTTTGGTCAAAGTGTATGCAAAACGGCTAAAAAAGTCGAATTTTTCGAAATTTCGAAATTTTTTGAGATTTGGATAGCTTTTTGGGCCTCAGAAACTACTAAAAATGCTATAAATTATATTGTATTTGATCAATTCGTATTCCCCTGCTAAAACGCCCTGCCCCCCCCAATAATAGTCCAGTACCGAAAAAATTTCTACTGCTCCTTCAACCATCTTTATTGAGCAATTTTGAGCACACGCATTGATGGATATGCAACAATAGAATCGATAATGTAAAAATTGATCTTAGAAGCGAAATATAATGTAATGAATCATATAATACGGTCATATAGATTTAATCTTGTTCTTCAACCGGTGGCGGCGCCTTCATCTCGTAGATCTTCCGAGGGGCTGCGGTGGCTTCGTGAGCCGGAGGAAGAACTGCTCCTCCTCGGCGGCTGCTGCTCCGGCCCAAGTTCCTCGACGCTCCCGTAGAACTCGTCCGGGGTTGGTGGTCTCTGTAAGTAAAAAAAATGTTATAAACCATAAGCAATTTAGTAGAAAGTTATAGGTATCGATCGTCGAGTTAAATCGTTTTTTTCGGGGTAGGGAAGGGATAGAAAAAGTAGTAAAAAAGCTGTCTTTTTTTACCAGCTTAAAAAGCTTTACCATCATCCGGCCAGAATCCCTGAAATTATTTTTGAAATCTTAAGGAATGAGAAGGAAGGAATCTACTTTTTTTTCAGGATTTAGTTTTTATAATTTAAATAAAATAAGTGTTTCTAAAATGTTTTTACTATTCCTAAGCCTAAAAACTTTACAGATTGGGTAAAAATTAAAAAACTCAAACTCTAAAAAGCCGCTTTTCGAAGAAATTTCACCTAAAAAATGCTCCATGTATTTATTATTGTATTCCACTTTGAATCTAGATAAATTTTGCTAAAATAATAGAAAAATACTTACTGTTTTGTTAAACTAGATAAATTTGTCAAAAACTTTTCGAAAAGTCGAAATTTTGGTAAACGAGGGTTTTTGTCTAAATAACTATTTTTTTGTAGTTTTTATGATAATATTTGGATCCTTAGAAGAACGTTGCGCCCCCCCCCCCGATAACGCAAAAGAGCCTGGCAAAATTTAACGAAAATATAACTCGTGGGTATCGTACGTATGATAATCCGTATACGTGTATTTCCAACCTTGGTGTCCTGCGTCAAGAACTTGGGACCGAACAGGCCGAGGGCCAGCTGACCGAGCGGGGCGGTGAGCAGGATGGCCACCACGCAGGCGGACAGTACGATTGAAGCCTAGATACGGTGAAAAAAACTGAAA